CGAACCACTTGACATAGGCGGCCAAAATTTTGCACACATGTTTCTAATGACAAACCAAATATAGAAATCCAACATGGGGTCCCTGGGTCCAAGTTTTGATATAGCCCCCATATAACCATATCTCCCGATTTAAGGTATTTTTTGTTTATTAGACACATTTTACAACCAAACTGGCTGTAATTTAGCACAGAGTGCTCTTTTTGGGTACCAAATGTCCATGCAAAATTTTATGTATGTAGGTCCACGTTTACTGGTAGCCCCCATACAAAGGTACCCCTATTTTGAGTATTTACCCAAAAATTGGGTATAAACTCATTAACTGCCGAACCACTTGACATAGGCGGCCAAAATTTTGCACACATGTTTCTAATGACAAACCAAATATAGAAATCCAACATGGGGTCCCTGGGTCCAAGTTTTGATATAGCCCCCATATAACCGTATCTCCCGGTTTAAAGTATTTTTTGCCTATTAGACACACTTTACAACCAAATTGGCTGTAATTTGGCACAGAGTGTTCTTTTTGGGTACCAAATGTCCATGCAAAATTTTATTTATGTAGGTCCACGTTTACTGGTAGCCCCCATACAAAGGTACCCCTATTTTGAGTATTTACCCAAAAATTGGGTATAAACTCATTAACTGCCGAACCACTTGACATAGGCGGCCAAAATTTTGCACACATGTTTCTAATGACAAACCAAATATAGAAATCCAACATGGGGTCCCTGGGTCCAAGTTTTGACATAGCCCCCATATAACCGTATCTCCCGGTTTAAAGTATTTTTTGCCTATTAGACACATTTTACAACCAAATTGGCTGTAATTTGGCACAGAGTGTTCTTTTTGGGTACCAAATGTCCATGCAAAATTTTATGTATGTAGGTCCACGTTTACTGGTAGCCCCCATACAAAGGCAACCCCAATTTGGAGTATTTACCCAAAAATTGGGTATAAACTCATTAACTGCCGAACCACTTGACATAGGCGGCCAAAATTTTGCACACATGTTTCTAATGACAAAGCAAATATAGAAATCCAACATGGGGTCCCTGGGTCCAAGTTTTGATATAGCCCCCATATAACCGTATCTCCCGGTTTAAAGTATTTTTTGCCTATTAGACACATTTTACAACCAAATTGGCTGTAATTTGGCACAGAGTGTTCTTTTTGGGTACCAAATGTCCATGCAAAATGTTATGTATGTAGGTCCACGTTTACTGGTAGCCCCCATACAAAGGTACCCAATTTTTGGGTAAATACTCAAAATAGGAGTACCTTTGTATGGGGGCTACCAGTAAACGTGGACCTACATACATAAAATTTTGCATGGACATTTGGTACCCAAAAAGAACACTCTGCGCCAAATTACAGCCAATTTGGTTGTAAAATGTGTCTAATAAACAAAAAATACCTTAAATCGGAAGATATAGTTATATTTGGGGCTATATAAAACTTGGACCCAGGGACCCCATGTTGGATTTCTATATTTGCTTTGTCATTAGAAACATGTGTGCAAAATTTTGGCCGCCTATGTCAAGTGGTTCGGCAGTTAATGAGTTTATACCCAATTTTTGGGTAAATACTCAAAATAGGGGTACTTTTGTATGGGGGCTACCAGTAAACGTGGACCTACATACATAATCCAACCCCATGTTGGATTTCTATATTTGGTTTGACATTAGAAACATGTGTGCAAAATTTTGGCCGCCTATGTCAAGTGGTTCGGCAGTTAATGAGTTTATACCCAATTTATGGGTAAATACTCAAAATAGGGGTACTTTTGTATGGGGGCTACCAGTAAACGTGGACCTACATAAATACAATTTTGCATGGACATTTGGTACCCAAAAAGAACACTCTGTGCCAAATTACAGCCAATTTGGTTGTAAAGTGTGTCTAATAGGCAAAAAATACTTTAAACCGGGAGATACGGTTATATGGGGGCTATATCAAAACTTGGACCCAGGGACCCCATGTTGGATTTCTATATTTGGTTTGTCATTAGAAACATGTGTGCAAAATTTTGGCCGCCTATGTCAAGTGGTTCGGCAGTTAATGAGTTTATACCCAATTTTTGGGTAAATACTCAAAATAGGGGTACCTTTGTATGGGGGCTACCAGTAAACGTGGACCTACATACATACAATTTTGCATGGACATTTTGTATCCAAGAAGAGCACTCTGTGCTAAATTACAGCCAATTTGGTTGTAAAATGTGTCTAATAGGCAAAAAATACTTTAAATCGGGAGATATGGTTATATGGGGGCTATATCAAAACTTGGACCCAGGGACCCCATGTTGGATTTCTATATTTGCTTTGTCATTAGAAACATGTGTGCAAAATTTTGGCCGCCTATGTCAATTGATTCGGCAGTTAATGAGTTTATACCCAATTTTTGGGTGAATACTCAAAATAGGAGTACCTTAGTATGGGGGCTACCAGTAAACGTGGACCTACATACATAAAATTTTGCATGGACATTTGGTACCCAAAAAGAACACTCTGCGCCAAATTACAGCCAATTTGGTTGTAAAATGTGTCTAATAAACAAAAAATACCTTAAATCGGAAGATATAGTTATATTTGGGGCTATATCAAAACTTGGACCCAGGGACCCCATGTTGGATTTCTATATTTGCTTTGTCATTAGAAACATGTGTGCAAAATTTTGGCCGCCTATGTCAAGTGGTTCGGCAGTTAATGAGTTTATACCCAATTTTTGGGTAAATACTCAAAATAGGGGTACTTTTGTATGGGGGCTACCAGTAAACGTGGACCTACATACATAAAATTTTGCATGGACATTTTGTATCCAAGAAGAGCACTCTGTGCCAAATTACAGCCAATTTGGTTGTAAAATGTGTCTAATAAACAAAAATTACCTTAAATCGGGAGATATGGTTATATGGGGGCTATATCAAAACTTGGACCCAGGGACCCCATGTTGGATTTCTATATTTGGTTTGTCATTAGAAACATGTGTGCAAAATTTTGGCCGCCTATGTCAAGTGGTTCGGCAGTTAATGAGTTTATACCCAATTTTTGGGTAAAAACTCGGGTATTTACCCAAGTATTTACCCAAGTATTTACCCACGTCTTTAAAGTATCGTAAAACTATCCATTCTAAATCGATTTGATGACAGAAACCCGGAAATAGGGTGCAAGATGTTGTATTACCGATTCAATATAGTAAATACCCAAATAAATACCCACAAATGGGTATTTACCCAATTTACCGGGTATTTACCCAATTTACCGGGTATTTACCCTTTGGGTATTTACCCACTGCCCATCTCTAGGTATTTGAAAGAAAAAATTTCCGAAAGATCTACTGGCCGATCTGCGTCGACGGTGAATATCAGCGTCGAATGAACAACGTTCTTTGCAATTTATACGCGGACATCGACATAGTCAGTCGTATTGAGCTGCAGCGACTACGACGGCTAGGTCATGTTGTGCGAATGAATGAGAATGCCCCAGCCCCCACTGCTGGTTTCCCGCAGAAGGGGAAGGCCACGAATCAGATGGAAAGACCAAGTAGAAAACAACATCTTGGAAGGTGGTCTTTCAAATTGGAGGAGATACGCACAAGACCGACGCGCTTGGAAGTCTTTTTTTAAGTTTCGCTTATGGAACAACCGTTCTGTAACAAGCCAGGTAAGTAAGTTGAAATCCGGAGAAGAATTTTGTTGGTCAACAGATGATACTACGGTCTGAGTAAGCAATTTAGTTTGAGTGTTTGAGAGAAAAAATATCAGAATGATCTATGAGCCGATCGCCGTCGAATGAACCATCTGAACCATATATTCTTGGATATCGACAGGGTCTGACGTATCGAGCTGTAGCAACTACGATGGCTATGTTACGTTGCAAGAATGAATTAGCCCGTCACAGCCCGAATTGTTAATATTCTGTCAGATGGAATTTATAATCTACACAATTTGATTTTAAAAGCCTATACAACTATGTTATGACCTATCGTCACGATATTTAGCATGTAGGTCCGGATTTTACCAAAGACTACACCTAAAGTTTTTCTTAATAATGGGTTTACATAAAGGGGATGAAATAGACCAACAACTTTATTTTTATCAGGTTTTCTGGTCGCTATATAGGTTAAAATTATGACGCGAACAGGGGCCCAGGTCAACGAATCAAAATATTTTCATTACCACACGAGAAGTTGTGAATATCGCGAAATATTGGTTAGGGATTTAAGTCTAGAGAAAGTTCATAAATTTTTATTTTTTTTAAACCGAATCATTTTGTTAATTTAACCTACAATTTCCACCTTTAAAGGGATTCGATAACTAAGAAAACGTGGTTTTATAATATCAATGTAGTGTATATTCAAATCTGTAAATAAATCTAACCCAAATAACGGTTCGAAAAATTCGTAACTTTGTAATTATAGAATTGCAGTTGCCTCGTTCCATAGCTTCAATGAGAGAGGATTATGATAATTCAAGAAAATGTCATTGACAAAAATCGCAAAAATGGTTTATGAAGACGAAGTGGGAAAGCTTTTAAAGCCCAAAAATATAAGTTAAAAAGTCTAAACTTGTTAAATGTTCAAAATAATTTTTTTTCGGTTTCAAAAGCCACGATTTCAAATATTTAATTAAAAAAAAGAAACCTTGTTTTCTTTGTATATACCTTCCCACAATCAAGATGTTTACTCCTTGGTTTACTCACTTGTCAAATTTATGAACATTATATTATGATTTATAACACATACATACATATAACATAACTATAACTCAATTAAATCTCTCTCATATAGCAGAGAAATTATTATTTACACTAAATAAATTAATTATTTATAAAATATTATATTTTATATTTATTAATATATACTTACTAACATTCTTTGCTAAGCATTTTAATACAAAATTTATTTTTTTTAAATTTACCCATTATATATTTTTTTAATACTCATCTACCTTTTTATACTGTTGTTGTTTTTGTTGCGATTTTGGAAATCATAAAACTTACCCAATAGTGGCACCGCATCTGATGTAGCCGGCATTGTCTCGGCCACCATATTAAGGAACACAGTAAGTGATAGTAAAATCGTTACTCCTATCAAAGGGTGCCAGCAGAAGTGTAAACGATTGTTCGTAATTGGATTTTGCAAATTTTCGATTTTTTTTGTGTAGTTGCAGTCCAGTTAGTAGTTGGGAATTCCAGTGGAGAATTTTGTAACGGTTTTTTGGTTTGGTTTGAGATTTTTTGAAGTTTTTATTTTTTGTAACGTTTTTGTTTTTGGATTCGCATTATCGCCGTCGTGTTGAACGTAAAAGAACGCAAAAAGAAAAAAATTCAATTAAAAAACAGAAATCATTAATCACAAAACGAAATGCTGAACTAAAACTAAAGAACAAAAATGTGCCCAGCTGAAAGGCAATTAATTGGCTGGATTAATCGCTGAAACAGATCGCAGCTGTATTTGCAGATCTGGTCATCTTTAGGCATGTAAAGATCATCATCATAGACCACTACTTATCTTTACACAAAGTTTGTTATTTGACTTTTTTTTGCTAAATGAAACACTTCATGTTGTCTTTGTTGTTTTTGGTGGTGTTGTTGTTTTTTTCAGGGTTGTGATTTGATTGTCGTTTGTGATTGTTGGTTGGTTGTTTACTGTATGATTGGTATCAAATTTCAAGTTTTTGGCCAAAATTGTCGACACCATAAAAGTGTTTCAATTTTTGGTTGGTTTTGTGTGTTTTCTTTATTTATTATCGGGACAAAAGTACACATATGTAGTATTTCATTGTTGTAAAAAAATTTAAATTTTTTCATTATTATTATTTTTTGTTTTTTTTCTTCGGGGGGTCAAATAAAAAACTACTACCATATTCTCTGCGCTGAACCTCACAGTGTGACTTGTGAGTGGGTGCTCAGTCTTTATTTTTCTCATGGTCAAAATGGTTGTCGGTCTTCTAAGTCGGTCAGTTGGTGTGACGGTTAGTTTGTCTGTCATTTGGTCGTTTTGTGTCCGTCATATAGTGGCTTGGTCTGTGGTTAAGTCATTATAATGATCAGCTGGTCAGCAGACATTTGTGTTTTCTGTGGTGGTGGTTCCCTAACCGCATTTAGGAGACTTTCATGGCTGTCCTTGTGTGTGTCATAATCATTTTTTGTTTGTTTGTGACAACAAAAATGTCATAAATGTGTGGTGTTTGTATGTGTGGGTGTGTGTAGACAGGCTGAGGCAAAAACCCTTTCCTCAAATTTTTCTTTCTTTCTTTCTTTCGATGAACATAATTCTATAAAAATTCTCTAAAAATAAAATACAGGTCTGCAAAGAATAGAGAGCAGCTCTGGAAGACATGCTTGCTTCATGTAGAATATATGCCTTCTAATGGTAGATGAAAGGATATAAGGCGGGTCCTATAGGGATAGAAGACATGTCATCTCAGGATACTCTTATCTATCAGCTCATCTAAAGACAGAAAACAGGTCTTCTGAGGATATAAGACGGATATTCTAGGTATAGACTTTTAAAGAAAAAAATATAAAGGGAGGACTTCTAAGGCTTCTACAGATTGAATACAGGTCCTCCTTTAAGTAAAGTCGGCAGGTCTTCTAAGCATAGAGGTGCCGTTTTCTAAGTATAGAAAATACAATATATATATAGGTCATCTATGGATGGACGACATGTCTATCAGAGTTATAAGAATAAGCTTCTAGGGGTAGAAGAAAAATGAGCAAAGGGTAGAAAACTGTTTATATACGGAATTAATTTAAAGAAGGAAAAAAATACAGATTTTCTAAAAATAGAAATCAGGACGCACAGTTGACTTACTATTAATGGATAAAATGGAGTCTTCCTTTCTTGAAGAGAAGAAAGCATTTCTGTGGATGGAAGGGTGACTCCTAATAATAGGAAGGAGTCCTTTCTGGAGAAAAAAGAATATATTCTTTGATGATGACTTCTATGGATAGAAATGGGATCTAAGGGTAGGATGGAGTACTTCTTGGAGGGAAGGGACATCTTCTGTGGATAGAAGGAAGCTTTTCTGTGGATAGAAGAAATATCTTCTGATGATAGATGCTAGACCTTAAGAAGGAGTCCTTCCTCGAGAAAAAGGAATATCTTCTAGGAATAGCAAGGAGGACTTCCATGTATAGAAATGCCACCTTTTATAGATAAAGGCACCTAGGATTGGAGGGAGTACTTCCTCCTACCTTCTGAGGATAGTTTCTAGACCTTCTGTGAATAGATTCGGGATCTACTATGGATAGAAGTGGGGCGTTCTATGAATGAAAGTAGGTCATTTGTAGATGGACAGAGAGGAGGTCTTCGATGAATACATGCTTTCTGAGATTACAAGGATGACCTTTAAGTGACAGAAAGGAAGCTTCTTTAAGAGAAAGAGAAGGGGCCCTATATAAAATGGAGCAGAGCTTCACTAGATAAAAGGAAGACATTCTGGGATCCTGAATACATGCTTTCTGAAGAAAGGCTATGACCTTTAAGTGACAGAAAGGAAGCTTCTTTAAGAGAAAGAGAAGAGGCCCTATATAAAAGGGAGCAGAGCTTCACTAGATAAAAGGAAGACATTCTGGAATCCTTATGTATTGAAGAAAAGCTATTTAAGGGTAGCAAGGTGGCAGATCTTCTGTGGATAGAAGCATGACTTCTGAGAGATCATCTATGGAAGTAAGGAGTTCCTTGTAAATATAGAAGGTAAAACTTCTATGTATAGAAGGAAGGACTTCGTGAAGGGATGTCTGCTGAAAATATATAGTAATATTACAGAGGATAGATGGTAGGCCTACTAGGAATAAAAGGAAGGTAATTTACGCTTAGCAGGGTATCAGACCTTCTGTAGGTAGAAGGCGGTCCATTGAGTATTTAACTCTTCAAGCTAGAACTTCTTTGGACAGAAGGGAGACCTTATATGGGCTGGAAGTCCTAGTATGGTAAGCACGGAGGCTTCCGATGGAAAAACGATATAATGGAGACCTTCTGAGGGTATATAGGAAACCTATTATGAATAGGGAGATGCCTTATATAGATCGATGAGAGGCCATTTACCGGTAACAAGAGGCATACCTTCTGATGTATTCAGAAGAAGGAACATTAATGAATAGAATAGGGAGGCAGTTAATGGACAAAAGGCATGCCTTCGTTGAACAAAACTTCGACCTTCTACACTTCACAGGATGAATTAAAGACATTCCATGAACTGAGTACTGACCTTCTATGGATGAAAGTTATACCTTCTACGGATAAAAATGTGACTTTATAGATTGAATGAAAGATATTTACGGGTGGCAGACCTTATGTGGATAGAAGGATGTCTTCTGGGTATAGAAGAGATATCATATATGGAAATAAAGGAAGTCTTGTAAATATAGAAGGTAAAACTTATATGCATAGACTTCGATGGATATCCCTTCTATCCATATGCAGATATATACTAATATTACAAGTGACTGAGATAAGCAAGGCCATATTCGCTTAGCAGGGCGGCTCGCATTCTGTGGGCATTTAAAGATTGAAGCTGAAACTGCTATGGATAGGAGAGAGGCCTTCTATGAATTAAATAGAGGCCTTATATAAATAGCAGGAAGGCCTCCGATGTATAAACAATATAATGGAGACCTTCTGATGATATATAGTAGACCAAATATGAATAGGAGGTATGCTTTGTATGTATTGATGAGAGCTCATTTACCGGTTACAAGAGACAGAAGAGGGTCTTCCTCAAATTGAAGGGTACTCTTCACAAGGAGGAACTTTTATGAATAGAGGAGATGCATTTTAATGAATTGAAGTGATGTCATCTATGAATAGAAATGAAACTTTCGCCAGCAGACCTTCGAAGAATAAACTGGAGGCTCTCTAAGGTAGAAGGGAAACTTCCTATGAATTATATGCCTCGTATAGATAAGGTCAGGACTTTTATGGACCTAAGGATACCTTCGGAGGATAAAACACAAGTTATCTCTTAATGGAAGACAAATCAGATATAGATGGAAGACGATCCTTCCACGGAAACCAGCACACAAGTTCAGTAAAATTGTAGAAAAGCCCTTTAAAAGTTTTTCTTTCTTTAGGAGACATTTGGAAGCTTCCTACGGAATCAGAAAATCAGTAGATGATTCTCTATTTAGAAAAGACCTTTGGAAAGTTGGTTTTCCATAGGAGATCTGTAGAACATTTTCTGTCGATAAAATTCGAAGGAAAGGACCAATGGGAGGAGTTCTATTTAAAAAACGATTTTAGAGACTTTTTGTGCCTTTGGAAAACCTTTGGAAGGTCTTCAGTTAATAGAAGAATTTTGGAAGAAGTCCTTTGTCCTTTGGAAGATCGCTTATATATAAAAATGTTCGCCATATAAAAAGTCCTTTTGCTGATTTAATTTTTTATAACATGACCTGTTGAGAGTCGTCCTTTTATAAGAGACGTATAAAAGTCTGAAAGGTCGATCTTCTTTCTATAAAATACTCATGAAGCATCTAAGAGTCCTTTGGAAGGACCATTGAAAGGTGTTAATTTTAGAGAAGTATCTTTGTGTATTTTGTTAGATATTCTAGCTATTGAAGTCTTTTAAGTCTATAAAATTTATATAAATTTAGACAAGTCCTTTTTATATATAGTCGATCTTCCATATATACATAAAAATGTTCTCTTTGTAAGAATGACCTTGGGAAGATTTTCTTTCTTTATAAGAAGATCTAATGAGGGTTGCCCATTTATAAGATACCTGGAGAAGATCGTCAGTTATTAGAAGTCCTTCGAGTCATTTGTTGTCTATATAAACAAGTTTTCTTTGGAGGGCTGATAGCAGATTTTTGGAGGGTTTTCTATGTAGTAATAATCTTTGGAAGATTTTCTTTTTCTTTATAAGAAATACTGTAGACCATTTTCTCTCTGCAAAAGAACCTTTGAGGCTTCATCTGAAACTATTGGTAGGTCTCCAATTAATAGATAACTTTTGGCTGATCTCCTAATAATAGACGTCCCTTATAAATTATTAAGCCTATATGCGTTTTTGGAGATATTTCTATTCACTCAAGTCCTTTGGATGGTCATCTTATCTTTTGGAAGTTTATTTATGTTTGAA